TATATATATATATTATATATATATACTATTTGACCTGTGACGTTTATGCAAATTCTTATTTTTGAGAATATAATTAACGAAGTTATAAAAATCATAGCAGAGATTCACTTCACCCATTAATATTGTAACAAATGCTATGCTTCAGATATTTTGTACATATCTGCATGTATTATGTGCATTTTTGTACGTATAACTCCAAGTTTTTGGACGAATATATAAAATCTAATCGTAATGGTATGTAATCTGGGAATGTTTGAACGACTTCAATAGTTCGAAGCACTATTTGTTTTGACTCGAACACTTTGAATATATATATTTTGGATTCGTTTCTTATCGTTAATAACTCTTCGAGTGCTTGAAATTCTTAAAAAGCTTAATAAGCTGAATGAGGAGCAAATCAACAATATGCAACAAATCAATAATATGTCTTTAAACATATTCCTTTTTAATATATTTATTCAGTACATTGTAACAAGTTATCCTTCTTGAACTTCTAATAAGTCAATCATTTTATCATTGATTGCAAGATTATCTGTATCAATATCCTATAACTAAATACTTAAAGAATTGATATTAATTTGAATTTTATTTATGTGTAGAATCTTTTTTTCTATTTTTACACATGTATATTAAATGTTCAATCAAATTCATTCAATCTGTTTAAAACATTCTTTATGGTCTGATTCATGGTTAATTAATTTCGTATCGAAACTGTAATTAACTTTACAATGGTCATAAAGATACACAGGTGTGGACCGTAATAACATCGGTGATTGTATAGATTACACTATCAGCTAATCAATCACACGTATTTCAAGCTTGGATCAATTGTTTTCATATCGATGCGATTTAAATAATTTTTGTAAACAATATTGTGCAACACTTTCGATGATATAGCAGTGTTTTTAACAAAAGGTGTATGTATATGTACATTTTATTTATTTTGATAAAAAACGATAAAAAAAAAAGGTGATACAATATCAGTTCAAAGAAATCTTGAGCAGATAATACGAAAGGCAATATTGGTAGTGCGCTTTCGTTGTCACTGTCGGTATTAATTTACGAAAATTTATCATACGACTCGTCGCTTTGAAATTCGCATTATTCGCAACGTTATTACTTAACAGATATTAAATAAACAAATGAAGAAAATAAGGATTCATCGACGTTAGGAGGAACTAATGAAAGTATACTAATTGGATGAAAGGATTTTTATAGAAGACAAGTCAGTTGCTTCGTGAGTAATCTCGATCGTCCTGAGATCGAGAACTGATCATGGAACATGAGCAACGAGCAGAATTCAAAGGCACGTTGGAAGTTTAGTCGGAATATAGACAAAGCTTCGTATTCAAGAGCAAACTGTCAAGGACAAACGAAGGAAAGTCATTCTTCGAAAACGACTGACAAAGTTCGCAATGTGTTCGGTAGAGAGCCGATTAAAAATTGGTCGAGGGACTACCTGCAGGGAAGTATCGTCGAAGCGGAAAAGTATTCCGAGAGTGCTGCGGAGAGGGACCCCCAAAGAAATTCATCTTGGCAAACAATCGAAATCTCTTCGGGACGAAATATCGAAATAGCCGAAGCGAGGAATTTCTCGCGAAGGAGAAGCAACAATGTTATGGAACAATGTAGTTCACAAACTGTTTGGGACAATTTGAGAACGACTTCCCCGGAAACGTCTGAGAACAAACGGTTGTTGGGTATAAATGAGAATCTGCCGGAAGATTTAAAAGAGAGATACTTTTGGAAGCCGAGAGAAAGCTGCGCCATCTCGCA